CGGTGAGCAATGAGAGCGGTTGCGCCTGGCCCATCGTACAAAGCATTCTTGATTGATTGGAGAGAAACTCAGAAGCCGTTTCACATGCGAAGGCCTCATGGAGGCCATTTGAGCTCCCGAAAAGGACTCTCGCACTGTACTGCCGTGATCCTTTGAAATGTCTGGAAGTGTTCCGGCTCCTCTCCCACGATGAAATCCATCTGGAGATGTTGCTCGACGCGTAATTCCTCTGCCGGACTCAGAGAGTCCGTGTCACCCAAGTACTCTGATTCGGATCTAGCGAAGGAAATGCCACCTCAGAGGGACTCCTCCGATGCGTGAGTACTCGGCTGAGCACTATGAAACCCCCGAGATCCTTCCTCGGCCCTTCGGTACTTAACAGTACTCAACAGAGCACCGTCCTTAATGGAATGCACGTGCGATCTCGTCGCCCAATCGTGATTCTTGCCCTTTCGGACCCAGGAAATGGGATGCCAAAACGTTGAGAAATGAGGATTCGCTCCGAGTTGACATTCGCTCGATGCAACAACGTTGACAACGTTGTTGTGGCGAATGGTGTGTTGCATCGAGTCATGGTTCTCTATCCTATGGAACCATTAAATGGTTCCAAGAAAGTTTCACCGTAGAATCCAGTAAAGAGTTCCAGGGAGAATTATTATTATAATTATTTTTTTTTTTACAGTGTAATTCGCCTGACTTGAAGAAAATGATTTTGTCTCTCGTTGAACGCATTTCGCAATTCATCTTGCTTATCGGGATTTCGTGATGGGAGAGCGGGATAAAGTTTCCTTCCGAATCCGCTGCCGGAGTCGCTTCTCTCTCGCTCTGGAAGCTCGCCGGAACGAGTGAAACCTGCCCGATCGAATGCACGGAGATTATTTGGCGGAACGCACGCGCATCGTTGCATTTTCTCGCATTTGCGAGATTTGCGATCGAGAGAGTGGAAAGGGGATCCAGGTGCGGTTAAGCGCCATCGCCTTTTACTTTTGCAAAAAAAAAAAATGGCTTCGCAATCTCGACCGGGTGTGAAGCATGAACTAGGTCTTATTTCTTGAAAATTTTCCTTTCGCAAATTTTTCTCTTGCAATATTCTTTCGTCTATGCAAGAAAAGTTTTCTACCCTGAACGAGCCTAAAGAGGCTGAAAAGATGAGAGACAGCCTCCGTCTGATGATGAAAGCACAATTTTGAAATCCCCAGGAGAGAGCCAAAGAGTTTTTTCGACGGCCTCCGATTCGCATTTCTAGTCTGAATTTTTTTTTTCCTCTGGAGTGCTTCTACCACCCCCCCCTTCACCCCCCCCCCCCCACCCCCCTTTGCGATTTGGAGAGTCCCTCTACCCCCCCCCCATTCCCCCCCCCCCCCCCACCCCCCTTTGCGATTTGGAGGAACTGCATGCCCCGCTGCCGCGTCCTCACGATCGTCTCTCGAGTTTCGGTCGATACGCTCTTCTTGGCGGGAAGAATTTGGGCGCTCGGAGCTAAGTGAGCGGGGGAGAGACCGGGGATCGAGCTCACTGGTTAAGGAGTATCGCTGAATGCGGTTATTATAATGTCCAGGTTAAGTGTATGTTCTGTGCGTCGGTTTCCAATGGAGCCCCGGAGGAAATTTCAACATCAAATAACTTCCCCCTGCGACGAAACTATTGCGAAAAATTCCTCACCGGTATCCCGTTTCCAACGGAAAGATGTCTTTCGATTTAACTTGCTTATTATACCGGGTGAGACGAAACAAAAAACGCGCCGCTCTTTGAAATTTTGTGGCACCTCTGAAGCAGCAGCTAGAACGATGAAATTACTTTCAGGCACACCTCTACGCATCCTTCGAGCATTCGCAAATTTTTTACTTGTTCTCTTCAGCCGTTTCGGCACAAGAGTGATTTTCCCAAAAGCAACTGGAATTTTATTTTTTGCACTCGCATCTGGACGCCGACGGGAGGACCCATGAGGAATTCACATTTATATTCTCGGATTTTTTTTTTCCTCTGCACTTCAGTAGATCTCTGACGCGTCCTTACGTCTGCCGATTTGCATTTGATATTTTTGCACCCCAGGATTATCATATTGAAAAAAAAAAAGACTTCTTCGACAGTAACGCAGTTTCCTTCAGTCTCGGCTGACTTTAGTCTTCCTTCCGCTGCTTCGCTTCCTCTCAGATAAACCGGTTCCTCGCAGCTCGCGGGTCGATCTCTTAACAATAAATTTCTTTCATCCTTTACCTTAAATTCTTGCGAAATTCTGCCCACCACCGTCCTTTCGCAAAGAGCAGCATTTTCATGGGGAGATGGAGGAGCTCAAATATGGAGGAGAATAAATAAAAATAAAATTCTCGTCGCCTTCGCGTATTTGCTCCTGTGCTAAACGGTTGAAGAAAAGTGAATAAGGATTTTAGGACGTTTCAAAGATACGTAGAAGTCGTTGCAGAAAAAAAATTGCCATGCTATCTTCTAATCTCGTGAACTCCAATGAATCTCAAAGAGCGGCGCTTTTTTTTTTCTCATCCGGTATATGGTAGTCGAACCGGATTCCAAAATGGAATATGCATATCGTTCATCCCGACTTCGTTAATCCCCGGACCCGATCGGAATCAAACGGGGTGAGCATTCTTGGACATCTCTTTCGCATTTCGACAAATAGGGCAAAACATGTCCACTGCGTGTCGGCGTCGAAGGACGACTGGGTCGGAGTCGTCTTCGCGTCTCGTGTCGGTTTTGTCTGGCCTTGGAAGGTCGCCATTTAGGGCATGTTCTGATGCTACATTGTCAATGAAATGCTCTGAAATGTAAGTCTCTGCATTGAAAAAAATGTTTTTTACTTCAAGAACCTGACTTTTGAGACCCTTGTAGTATGCTAGTTTCGGATTTCCCTTCCTTTTTCAAGTCACCTTTCCCACTCAACGAATTCGAAGAATAAGCAAAATACGAAGTCAAATAAATAAAAAAATTTGAATAGAGCTCATGCTTCCCTTTATTCTTCTCTTATTCTTGCGGAATTAAAAAAAAAAAGAGTTCCTTGTTGTGACTGCCTTGAACATTCTTTGAGCTCTAACAATTGATCATTCCATCCTCAGGACTTCTTCGTAGCAAGGCATTTCGAATCGCCCTTTCGGACCAGTACCTTGTCGAAAGTGTTCGTATCTGAGACTCAATTCCGACTTCCAACGAGAGGTTCCTTCGATAATTTGTTTTCATATTCTGCGAGACTGTTAGGATTTAGCTTCACGATGCTTGCAGATACGGATCAAAGATGGGAGTTTGCATTTGCGAAAATAAAAAAGTCGAAGCTCGACCGGCAAAAGCTTCGAAAACAAACATAAGCTTCGTCGATTTACTCTTTCCCTATCGCCAGGAGCCATTTCTGGGATTTTTATTTAGATCGGTTCGAGGGCAAGGTTAGACATTAGCAGAGCATAAGGATGTTTGTTCTAAAAATGAGCTCAAAGGCATGGTAGGTCTAGTCTCATGTCTACCTAAGATCAAACGTGGGCAGGTGAGGGTTTCTTTTAGAAATGTTCAATGGTAAAGCCACAGTTATAGTTGAAGTGAGAGTGAAAGGTCGCGGGCAGGATTCTGGAGTGACACTGGAATTGTTCATCGGTGGTCACCTGTTTCCTCGAGTGCCTCCCCATCTATGGTCTATGCAATCCTTTCTTCCTCCTGGACCACTAGCGCGGGCATATATAATTTTACTCCATGACCAATGGCAAGTTTTACTGGGTGGGGGAGGGACGGCCGTCACCACTGGCAGGCCCTGAAAGCGCCATCTCTTTCCAGCTCAAGTCAGACATAGAGATCTCATTTTAGGGGGGGGTAATGCGGTGGTAGTTTCAGTCGACGGCGGGGAAGGGTGTACAACTGCCAAGTTTCATCCTCCTGGTTCATCCTGTTTGTAAGCCTCAATTGGAGATAACCATCGTACAATTCCTTCTTATGGACTTGGATGAATGCGCGGTCTCAGGACCAAAAAATAGCCTGGGTTTGCAGCTTCACAGCCGCTTGCACTGAAGTTTGCAGCTTCACCGATTGAAACCAGGAGAATTTCAATCAATTTCAATTTATTAAGTCTTCCGGCATCCTATGCAAATTGGCCAGGAAGAAGGGGATGAAACCGGGAGTTTTGGCAACGCTACTAGTGGTCCCTCGGAGGAATTTTTTTGTCATTTCGTGCCTTCGCTCATCTATCGGTCTTCGCGCCCCCCCCCCCCCCCCCCTTTTCTTTTTGCATGTCCTCCCCGACTCATGAGCCAAAATGCGCCATTGTCCATGATTTCTTTAATAAGTAGATTTACAGGTTTTAGATCTAAAGGGAAATTCTCGCGTCCTTTCCTAGAGGTTGCCGAGTACTAGGGCGGGACATTCAAGGCGGATCCAATAATTTAATTTGGGGGGCTTGGTGCTTTGGATTTGTGAAGACCAAAACACCACTGCCAACGTTTATGGCTCCAGTCATTTCCATGGGGTTGAAGTGCCTCAATAAAGACGAATGATTAAGCAACAAATTTCTTTTTTTTTTTCGGGGAGGGGGGGGACCTGGAAATCACTAGGCCACACTCCCCTCCCCGGAATCGAACCCTGTCTTCCTGGATAGTATTAGTAGGTGAACTCATTACCTTTAAGCAGTGCCATCAGTTCCTGCCTTAATGAAGCTGCAAAATTGCTATCTTGAATCTGTAGTATTGCCTATTATTGCACTTGTTCACAAAGTAAAAAATAAAAGCAGAGGGGGTTACAGTGTGGGTATACTTGCGTGGCAAGGAGGAGGCGAATTTTCTCTCAATATGTCTCCCTGCATGTCTATCATGTTGCTTAGGCTTGCCATGCCTGCTCAGTGTCAACGATGCAATGGAGTGTAAAGCTCACCTTATTGAACTCAACGTAGTATAGGCTAGTTTAGACCCTTACTCATGCGAATTTGGCCTGGTCTTAACTTATTTTTAAGCCTACATGATATTACTGTGATGTTTACAGTATAGAGTTTGAAATGTTTTCGCTTGACTACGACAATGGGTGTAATCGGACTAGGCCTGATTGCTGCCTTCATACACTGGGTCTGAATTCAGCCTAGTCGTCAAATGCAAACTCAACCCGTGTAACAGGTGTTGTAGCACTGTTAAAAATCTGATTCTCCCCCATTACCTTTTATTTGCTTATTGGCAAAAAGTATCACAAAATATATGGGCACGTCTTTCTCGATGAAATAACACTTAATGGGCGTTAGGTGCTGCTATGTTGACCATGTGAATATGTGTATATTCATGGTAGGGGAGGTCAGTGGCACAGGTGCTGCAATAGTCCTCATAGAGTGTGGTTTCACCTTTACTCAAAAGTTAATCAAGGCCTCAAATGCTTCTAGCATGCACCTTGTCCTCATGTATTGTTGATGGCACTCAGAAGGAACCTTGTACTAGAAGTGGACATATGAAGGCATGAGTGAGAAAGCAAAAGAACACTTTGAAATAGAAATTTGAAATTGAATCATATTCAGATCTGATTACTGGTCAGTTGTGTTACCACATACCCAAATACCCAAGGGTATTCAGTCACTCCTCTTGATGCCATCATATTTGCATGCTTGTTATCTGTATCATTATAACAGGCTTAAGCTTGGCTAAGCTTACTGTGAGTGGAGAGTTTCACCTTTACCCTCCATGGGAAGCTCCATCATATTCCCTATGCTTTCTGGCATTGTATCCATCCTCTTGCAAGACTAACTTTAGCATCTTCTCTTTTCTTCCACCAAGTGCTCTTTTGAGGTTGCTGTGTAAAGGTCTTCACTACAATATACTTAACTGTGTGCAGTAATGTCTAATTTATGTGACAGATTAAATTACCTTAAACTTTGACATGGCTTCAGTGGTGAGCGTTGTGAATGCCAGATGTACTCAACTATTAATATCTGTATTCCAATGATTACCTTTGCATATGCAACCACATTGCCCCTGATTCACATGGACTACCATCTGACAGCCATTGTAGAAAACTTCAACTTCTCTTTCAAATGTCAGGTGCTTCTGATGGGCATTGTACGTCTTGCGCACACCACCAGAGCACCATGCACACGGTGTGCACTCGCATAGTACGTCTCGCGCACACTAAGGCAACATGCCCCCATGCAAGAGGGTTATCAAAGCCCAACATACCACACATGAGGAAGTTGTTGCGTAAATTGGGGGACCGTTGGAGCCATCTTCACTACCAGCATAAAATGCTGCACGGGCACGGCTTTACCGTCCCGACCTGACCCGACTCAAGCCACTGTTCTCGCACAGTCATTTGAGCCAATTTCCTTGCGTTTTCGACGTTTTGACATGCTCACGGCTCGTTCGTTGTTTTATGCTGGCCTATGCATTCACATTTTGCCAGCAGTGTTATAAACTATAAAGTATGCGTTCTTCCTCCAGTGGGAGAGGGCTTAAATAAATTAAAACGTATTCCAGACGTGGAGGTCGGTTTTCATGATTTGACATCAATGCCTCACCAGGGCGTGGGCGCGAGATGCACTCTAACGTAGAAGTGGGCAAGGATGCACGGTGTACATGGGTGGGCGCAAGACGTACTCTGGGTGGGGGGGGTGTGCACAAGGCGAACAATGCCCCTTCCTAATGTATGGCCTAGCAACATTTGGCAATATCTTTATAAGCCTGTATGCTGATAATGATATGAAAATATATTCCCAAGTCACTTAGCTTGGGCATTAGCTTGGGCATCATTCAGCTCAGAGGATATGACAAACATGCACAGTACTCACAGAAGCCATTAATGCTGGCAAACTTGACTCTTCAACTTAATCCTAGATGCTATCCAGGGGCACATATGCTTGATGGCTGATATACTTCATTAAATATTATCCTTCAAGAATTCAACATAACCAGCAACCAATATGTCAGGCACATAAAAGCTAGCATAGGACTTGACTAAACGTAGAACTAATCTACGTTTTTAAGAACCATATACTATTAATGACCCTATGATATATGCTATTTTGTCCCTCCATGAGTCTGTAATTTTAGTGTATTGAACACTACATTGCACATGACTAACCACTACTATTTGCAGATTTTTGGCTGTATAGAGGATGCAGCCCCTTCATCTTCGTTGGCATAGAGGTGAGAATCCCTGGAAAAATGAAAATGTCATATTTTTGAAATAATTTATGTAATACCAGGTATCAGGCAGTATTTTCTATTTGAGTTTGACTCTTCTGTTTGAGTCCAACAATAAACTGACTGTTGGTGTAGTCATTCCATGCTTAGGCTTTCCTTCTAAAGGAGGGAATATTTTTCAATGCAGAATCTTGTAAAACTTTTTTTTGCAAAAGGAGCTTTTGTCATCAATGTTTAAAATTTATAGAATGGCTGTCAGCCAGCAAAGTTATTAGCTGAAGGTAAATAACAAGTAGGAAGGAGCTCAATCTGCAATGGTTGTATCAAAGTCATGTAAAAAAAGGTCAAACCCAAAAAGTATTGTAGACCTGGATATATTCTCAAAATGTTATACTTCAAAATACAGGGTTTCCATAAAGTTCCTTTACAACTTCAGGCCTAAAAAAATTAACAAAAAGACTTACCATTAAGTGGTTTATTGCATCAGAAAGTCCACCTCTCAAAGTTTTATTTGCAATAAGTACACAAAAATTAGTACAACTATATGTGGGTGACTCTTGTTGAATGTAGAACGACAACTCAATATTAGATTTCTCTCCAGGTTCAGTTTAGCATTTTGACATCTACATTGTTGATAACAGCTGAAATTCTGTTCTTCAAGTCCTCAATACTGTTCACTTTTGTACAGCACACCCTGTCTTTCACATAACCCCATAGGAAGAAATGCAAGGGGGTTATGTTTGATGAATGTGGTGGGGGCAATGGAATTGGACCACCCTGCCCATTCCACTGCTCAGTGAAATAAATAAATACAAAAATACATGTCAATAATAACTTTAAGAGATAGACTTCATGATGCAATAAACCGCTTAATTTTAAGTCTTTTTGTTAAATTTGTATTTGGTTTTGAAATTGTAAAGGAACTTTATGGGCACCCTATACATCCTCATGGTAACAGACAAATCTGCTCATCATTTGAGTCTATCAATCTAATCATTTAAGATTCAGATCAATCACTTCTTTGTATGGTAATTATGCAGGTGTTTTCCTATTGCAAGAAGTCCTGCAACAGCAGAGAGCAAAAGGAATCTCCTCATCTGTTCCGTATAAAAATAAGACTTCATGGAAGAAGACCTGGAGCACTCGTAGCCACATGTGTGGTGAATTGAAGAGGGATCATGTGGGACAACAAGTCACAGTCTGTGGGTGGGTTCAGCACCAAAGAATGGACCAGTTTCTTGTTCTTCGTGATGTCAGTGGAATCCTCCAAGTCACTGTTCCTCCTGAAGTAAGCTGATTGATGTAATATAACTTGTTAGATGTGGAATGATTTCTATGAAGACATTCTGATTCCAATCTTATATGTATATCAGATGCAGAAGGAGAAAATTTTGAGCTCCCTCAGCTTGGAGAGTGTGGTGAGAGTGTCAGGAAAGGTGGAGAGGAGACCACCAGGCCTTGAAAATTCAGTGAGTTCCATTGTTAGTGGAACTGTTTGAGAAGCAACTGAAGTAGTGAGATCAAAATCAGCCTAGCTTTCCAATCTAGTTGTTGTATGTATTTGTGATGGATTTTTCTTGCCAAGCTTGTTAAATATTCAATACATGTAAATAGACTGCAGTACATAACATTTACCAGCCAGCAACCTGATGTAAACAGTAGATATTGTTTGTGTGAATTGAAATTTCTTTTTCATCACCCATTATGTTAAGAGACTGCTGATCTTATTATCACAGCAAACCTAAATATTAGTGTAAACAAAGTTTTGTTTAGGTTTTCAATTTTATAAAAATTTTAATATATAAGGCTTTTTGTGTAATTGCAGTACTTGCTTCTGTGCTTCTATGCGAATTTATGAAAAGTCAGTGCTTATTGATCCCTTAGGCCATGGAAACTGGAGATATTGAATTACAAGTTAAAGATCTAGAAGTTCTCAACCCAGCCAGACAACAGTTACCAATGCAGATAAGGGATTTTAGTAAGGTAAGAATTTTGTTACACTTTCTTAGCCTTCCATTATATTACCTCACAAATACAATCCTGGATTCTTTATTACCTTCAGGCCAAAGAGTCTCTGAGAATGGAATACAGATATCTTGATCTGAGGCGTCCTCAGATGCAGAGAAATCTACGCCTTCGATCCAAAGTATTGGCAGAAATGCGAAAGTGTTTAATTGAGAAGAATGGCTTTGTGGAAGTGGAAACTCCAACACTTTTTAGGAGGACTCCTGGAGTAAGTAGTATTGCTGTATTTTTCTTTGCAAAGTCAGCATGTTTTCTCATATTGCCAAGTTGATCATAACTGCAACCTAAGAAGATATGTATTAATGGTAAATTTTATGCTTCCAGGGTGCTCAAGAGTTCATAGTACCCACCCAGGTCCCTGGAAAGGTGTATTCCTTGGTACAAAGCCCTCAGCAGTTTAAGCAGCTGCTGATGATAGGTGGCATTGATAGATACTTCCAGGTGGCTCGTTGCTATAGAGATGAAGGTGCCCGACCTGATAGACAACCTGAGTTTACTCAGGTACTGTTGCTATTTGTATGCTTTTATTTGAAGTCAAAGGTCTTTGACTTCATGCTGCCTTTCTGCTCATTCCTACAGGGTGAAATATAAAGTTCTGAACATATTTAATATTTAACCTAGCAATGTTGCATCTGCTATCAGACAAATTACTAGCAACTTCATGCCTTTTGTTACAAATATTTTGCTAAAAGTATGTGCCTAATATGGATTTAATCATATCCTAGTGCGTACTTTTCCTGGAAGAATGTGTAGCATTTCATTATACTTTACAGGGTGTTCCAAAAAGATCTGGACAACTTTGGTTGCTAATAAATTGAGAACCACAAATGATAAAATAATACCGTTTATTTTATATGTTACAGAAACTCAAAGTTTTGTGCACACTATCAATACACTTCAATGTGTGCTCCGTTTTTTTTCACGCAGGACATCAAGGGGGTAGTCGATTTCTTGCCATGTTCGGTCCAACATGTTGGCGTCCACGTGCATGATGGCAGCAATGATACGAGCACGAAGATCCTGCAGGTTTGCCACCTTGGTCTGGTAGACCACATCTTTGACATACCCCCACAGGAAAAAATCAAGGGGGGTTATGTCTGGTGATTGTGGTGGCCAGGTAATTGGTCGGCCTCGGCCAATCCAACGACCTGGAAACTTTCTGTCCAGGGTGGCTCAAATGGCTAAGGCCCAGTGAGGAGGAGCACCATCCTGTTGAAAGATGATATCGGGTTGTAGGTTTCCAGGTCGTTGGATTGGCTGAGGTGGACCAATCGCCTGGCCACCACGATCACCAGACATAACCCCCCTTGATTTTTTCCTGTGGGGGTATGTCAAAGATGTGGTCTACCAGACCAAGGTGGCAAACCTGCAGGATCTTTGTGCTCGCATCATTGCTGCCATCACGCACATGGACGCCAACATGTTGGACCGAACATGGCAAGAAATTGACTACTGCCTTGATGTCCTGCGCAAAAAAAAAATGAAGCACACATTGAAGTGTATTGATAGTGTGCACAAAACTTTATGAGTTTCTGTAACATATAAAATAAACTGTATTGTTTTATCATTTGTGGTTCTCAATTTATTAGCAACCAAAGTTGTTCAGATCTTTTTGGAACACCCTGTATTTAAAAATTTTTTTGTCGTGTTTTGATGATTTAATGTGTTTCTTGCTGTATGACTAAAAATGTTTGGCCATGAGGTTTATTTCATTAATTATTGCTGCTTCTTTGTATTTCTGGACTGATCTGATTGTAGTTTGATCCCTCTTGATACAGGAATCTACTGGTGACATGTTTACTGTCTTCTTAAATCGATGGATTTAGGGTCATTGCAGTCTGTTCTTAGAGAGAGAGGACCATCTTCTATTGACCTGTTACCATGGGTTGGGTAGAATTTATCTCCTTGTGAAAAGACAAGGATTATGTTCTTTTTGGTGAAATAACTCTTATTAGGAAAGAAAGAACTGAATTGGAGTTGGAGAGCTCTCCCCCAATATGCACCCTGGGTATATATATATGTATATGTATAACCCTACTGGTAAATAAAGCCTGTTATTGTGTCACTTTTGTTTAACTGCTTTCTATAAAGGAATGCAAGGGGAAATCATTGAATGAAAGCAACTCAATTGCAGGGTGTGTTTGAGAACAAGTAAGCATTGGGATGATCAGCCAGAGGTTACTTGAAGCAGGATTGAAACCTAAATGGCCATGTAACAAGCATAAACTTAATTGCAGCCATGATTTAAAATCTTAAAATGCAAAGAGATTCATCACATCACATCAACTGGACTTAAAACATCTCCACTGAACAGTTGCAATGATCAATTCCTGTGCTTGTACAGATGAGGTGATATTTTGCCCATTTCCTTTGCATGTTGATCATGGTTCCAGTTAACCTTCAGTGTGGATTGTCTGATTATTCGATTGTTCTGACTCACACTCTGTAGCTAATTTTCATTCATTCAATGATTTTCCATGCTTCTCTGAACAGGAAGCAGTTAAACCTAGCTGTTTTGGCATGTTTGCACCTACATCTATGATCATATTTGGGCAATACATCCATATTAAAGAAATATTTTAGGAACTGTAGCCATGTCTATAGCATAATCAGCTAATTTAGCCATTTCTTTGCTTGCAGAAGTTGTTTCACCCTAATAAACTTCAATCTTTGCCCCTTTTCAAGGAAATAGATGTTCTCCCCTGACCCTAAATCCCTTGATTTATGAAGATAAGGTGAATAAGTCATCAGACCAGTCATATCAGTCAGACATATCATGAATGAACTACTTTCAATCAGATCTGTTTGGAAATACTAATGAGAAGCAAGAATTAACTCTACCAGATAGTCCAGTCTCAGTCATTGAATTACAAAAACCATACATATGGACAAGAAAAGGGTACAATATGATTAAGGTATAAGTAAATGCATGGGAAAGGTCACTTTATAACCAAGAATGCATTTTTTCTCAAATGTATTAATTGTTTATGGCTAAATGTTCACAGGATACACCCTGTGCATCATAATATTTACTCTTGCTTCATCTCATGATGGGTGCATTGTATACAGTTGTTAGGCGTTACTACATTTCTTTTACTTCTTTCTATAAATTGCATTTCTTTACTCTCTTTGCAGTTGGATTTGGAAATGTCCTTCACAGACAGGGATAAAGTCATTGGAGTGACAGAAGAAATCCTTATCTCAAGCTGGCCTAAAGAACTTGGTCCAGTGAGAGCACCTTTCCTTGAGATGACTTATCAAGAGGCATTAGAGAATTATGGGACTGACAAGCCTGATTTAAGGTTTGCTTCCAAGGTGAACTTTTGCCTTAGACACTGAGTTTGGTGCCAACAGTTTATTGTCAATCTTGTCACGAGAAGAAATTATTCAAGCCTAATAAACCTCAAAGATTCAGAATCACTTGTGCTATGAGTACAAGTAATACTCTGTGCAACTGTTCACTGAATTTATGCAGGATCTCTGTAATGCTATCAAGGTGTTCCCATGTTTAATTTTAGGCATAATGAAATTTCTTGATCATGCTAGAAGTATCTGTGTCCTCTCAGAGCTATGCAATGAATTTTTATTTCTGTAGATCCAAGATGTGACAGAAGCACTACACAATTGTGGAGTCAACTTCATTCAAAATGCTTTGAATACAACGGGAGGCTGTGTGAAGTGCATTGTTTTTCCTGGAGCAGCTGTGAGTAGTAACTTGAAATATTTTTTCATGTTTCGGCAAGCCTAGTTTCATAGAACAGTTTCTTGTGCTTTATTTTCTAATATGCCAAATTGTTTCTTGTTTGTATAGGACTAGGTGACATTATGGTCTCTTCATGTTCGTGTAGGACTATGTGAAATTATGGTCTCCCTTGAAAGAGGACAAGGAATTGATTTCATCCATCATAGTGAGGAGCAAAAGCCAATGGAAGTCACCTCTGAACAAATTTATGAACACCTCATCAAAGGAAATGCTGACTGACATTCTCAATGTCAGCATTGGGGATGTTATTTTTCTGGCTGCTGGACCAAGTCCCAAAATTGTAAGATGTGCTTCATCTCACTAAACTTTGAATTGTAAAGGGTGATATAAAGTCTCTTGGCATTTTCAGGGGCCATACCTTGTGAAGGTATGGCCCCATGATAGAGCTGTAATATTTGGTGGGAACACACTATTGAAGAAGATTAGTTTCCAGTGACCTTCAATTCCTCTTCCCATGGTCTCATTAATGTACCCATAAAATATTGCAGCTCTATGACCCCTGATTTTCATGATATAACCATCAGAACAGCTAATGATACCTATAGTTTACCCTATGTCTTGGTCACTTTTTTTCATGCTGTTTTTTAGAACAAGAAAATACATCTATCCCTCTATTATACCCTGAGTACACAGACTCCTAAGCAATTATTAAAAGGAAGACATACTGTTGTACACATATGTCACTCACTAATTCTATCACAGGCAAGGATAATATGACACTTCATCATCCTCTTTCCAGTTGGATGTTTTGGGGCGAATACGACTGAATTTCTGTCAACATCTGGAAAACAGTGGTGTTGAAGTGAGAGAGAAGAATGCATATAAGTTCCTCTGGGTCACTCACTTTCCTTTGTTTCTCCCTGGGGACAAGGAAGGGGAAGTGGAAAGTGCTCATCATCCTTTCACAAGGCCCATCAAAGAACACATGGACTTAATTTTCAAAAATCCACTAAAGGTATGAGGTGCCCTTGCTTTTATACTTTACAGAGAGGCACTACCTGATTAGGGGTCATTCATGGACATGCCTGCCACTTTCAGGTGACGGGAGAACACTATGATCTGGTGCTGAATGGTCAGGAGATAGCAGGAGGATCTATGCGAATACATGAGGCATCACTTCAACGTCATGTACTTGAGAAGATACTCCAAGTTGATAGCAATCAGCTGAAGCATCTTTTGGAAGCTCTTGACTCTGGAGCTCCTCCTCATGGCGGTATTGCCATTGGTAAGTAGTTTTGTTTGCTACTATGGATGTACAAATTATTTGCAGAGAACCAGTTAAATGAGTTTGCTTGTACAGGGTGGGCCAAAAAAAAAACAAAGCTTTCATTTTTGGTAAGTTGTCAGTCTGATTGTAGGTTGCTGATTCTGATGAAATTTGGTTGACATGGGTGACTCAATTATGGTTTGTGTGCCAAGTTTCAAATAAAGATTCTAAAAACTATGAGATTGGCATTTAATTTAATTTTCATCACCAAAATATTAAGTGTTCATTTTTTCTTGCAGCTTAAAATTTTTCTCAACTGACAAAAACAAGCAAGCAGAATAAAAACAAAAGCACACAATTTGGTTTTCGTAAGTTCATTTCAACTGAAAAGGTGCTCAATGTGCCCTCCATTCTGTTGAACACAAGCCCATAGTCTGGGACACCACAGATATATGGCCTGGTGAATAAAAATTTGAGGTAGTGCTTCCCAATCTTCCTTTTTTAGCATCATGCAGAGATGGAAGGTCATGAATTTGGTCCTCCCTTTCATCCCAACCTCAAGTTCATATCGATTTTTTTGACAGCACATTTTGTTGGTCATCAGGAAATAACTTCAGCTCCTTTAATTTTTGAGTCAGAAGGCAGAATTTGGTATACAAACTCCAATTGTGTCACCCTATAAGCTTCCGAATTTTAATCAGAATTGGCAGTCTACGAAGAGATTGATAACTCACCAAAAATGACAGCTTTGCTTTTTTTGGCCCACCCTGTATGGGTGGGCCAAAAGGGGTGATTTCAAGTTGACTGATTCAAGGGGAAAAGTGGCCCATGTATGATTTTTCTTGTCAGTTTCAAAGTATAAATCCTGCCATGTAGGCATATTTTTTTTTAACATGCATGGTTGAATGGGAAGCTTGTATTCTTTAATGCTGCAAGGATGTTCTGTGCTGAGTATATCTCATGGATATGTCCCTAGTATTAATGAATTTCATTTTCATAGGTGTGGATCGACTATTGGCTATCATGTGTGGAAGTTCAAGTATCAGGGATGTAATAGCCTTCCCTAAGTCTCATGAAGGCCGTGATCCAATGTCAGGAGCACCTGCAATCATTTCTGAAGAGGAGAAGAAGCTGTATCATATCTCTATAATGTCATCACCCTCATAGCATGTGTGGTTTGTGATGAATTATATGGCAGTCTTTTCTTAGTTGGCCCTAATTTTTTGCCACTGAACATTGCTTGTAAAGGTAGACTGACATCCATATAAGGATGTTTAGTTGCAAGTAAATCAAGAAACTTCCAACAGATGCACATAAGGCCATCACTAAGTTTTCTACACCATTCCAAAAAAATACTTAGCCACCTGAGAAGATGCTTATGGCACAGAGCCTTTTTTCTTTCATGGGTTACCCCGCAAGAGTGGTCTTGTGTTATATGCTGAATCACAAAATTGCATATTCAATATATTAGTTGCTCTCCTTGCTTGCAATCACTACTTAGCTTAGAATTCCAAGCTTAGTGAAAAGGAAAAATGGAAATATTCTCTTACCTGGAATAAGGATAATTTTTCTTATGTCTGTGGTATTCTGAATTTTTTTGTTTGTTTTCACTCATACTTCATAAAGGAGGGATTCAAAGTGTATAGGAGTACTGTAACATCAATCTATTGGAGTGGATTCTTATAGAAAGCCATAATATAAAGTTGAATCAATTCAATTAAGTTTTATGGAATGCAGGTCACTCATTAATTTATGGGAGCTTTAAAAAAATTCATTAATGGTAGATGGCTTGTGTCATATGTTGTGACATCTCAGAACATCCAGCATTTTCATCTCAAGGGGCAGAGAACCCTCTTGAGTTTCCTGCTGTTGATTCTCCCTCCAGGGTGGATTAATGAAGGGGAAGGTTTTATGACTGTGAGGGTTCCCTTTACTCTCCCTAGACATGATGTAAAATATCATTTTACCTCAGACTGTCTCAAAATCACAAAATTGTCACTTACAGCAATCAAGCTGCTGTCTTAGAGATTTTCTTTTGTAAGATAAATTTCCAAAGTAGGCTTACTTGTAATCTCAATGTTGAAGGTTAGGAAAGCAAATGCACAGGCAGTCCTCTGGGCTTGCCTAGAGTTGTACTCTGCATGTGCATGTCAGATGTATACTCCAGTCCTATTGTGTGACTTGAAATATGATGTTATCAAAAGCCTAAACAGTGGGAGTATTTGAAAATGCAACTATCTTTCAATTTAGACTTACTTCAAGACTGACTTACATCATTTAGACATCTCACTTTTCTCTACCTCTAATGCACAACCCTTGGCTTACCATGTTGTACAGTTTCAGCCTTCAAATGCATATTTCATGTCATGTGGCTATAACAAGGCCCAAGTACTACTGCTTGCCTGTGAACCTGTCTCTTTCACATGTATGGGATCTTTGTTTTACAGTTTGCACAAGATTTGATTAAGTGCTTGTCTGTCAAGAGAAAAAAGTGACCCAATGGCTCGTCCTAAAATTCCCCAGCAAATCCCAATGGACCCAGGCCAAGACAAACTTGCAAATGTGAAACACTGGCTTTGCCTGTACCCTGCCTACTTAAACAAGAATAAGAGTGTGGCTGAAGGGAGGCGTATTCCAAAGGACAAGGCTGTCGTTGATCCTACATGCTTGGAGATCAGAGATGTTCTTCAAGCAGCAGGATTGGATGTTGTTATGGAAAACAAAGTCTACCCAAGGGAGAAGGTCAAGAACATGTTGCACCGAGGCCGAGTCAGGTATCGATTGAAGGACGAAAACAATCAAATCTTAAATCCCAAATTTCCAGACAAGACCTCAGTGATGCTTCATGCTGCTGAAACCATCCCAAAATTGAAGAGCCGCTCTCAGAGACAAAGTGCAGGTGCTGAACAGTCCCATGGAGGCCAAAATCCAGGTGCCAAGAAGAAACCAAAGAAAAAGTGAAAGGAAGAAAGCATTTCTTGTTATGCCTGACATCCCAGAAAATTCTCTATGGTTGATGGGAAAGAGTGCACTGTTGCAATGAATTTGTGGGGGAAAAAATACATTTCCATGTATCTAAGTGTTTGGAGTTTTTAACTTCAGATTATAGTGTTTGATACATATACCAGATGAGGCATAAAAATATGCTATATTCTGAAATTCATTAATGATTTTCTCAACAAAGTGGTTTTTTGGAGTTACTTCAAACTATCCCCTAAACATCCAGCATATTCCATTCATTCATTCAGCTGTTCTATCACACCAGAGTAAGAAGCAAAAGCAACTTGAATTGAAAGCAACTGACTCATGGCACTGATTAGGAGTGACTATTACTTTGATGTTTTTTTCTCTCTGCACTTCAGAATCTGTTGAACAGTTCTGACTGACTCATCCTACCATCTTAGACAATATGTAGCTGGGACTTTTGCATTCCTGAATTATCATCTTTACTTCTGCTTTGGCATTGTTTCCTTCTGTTTAGTTTGAACTAAATTTGGTTTAATACTCCCTCCCATCCTCTCAGATGAACTAGTTTTTCACAGATTGGGAACTGATCTGTTTCCTGTACTTTCCATCCATCTCTTGCCAGAAGTTTTTGTGCAATTCTTGCTTTCTGCCCCTATCCTTTCTGAAAATAACATTTATCATTACTTTATCTTCCACTGATAGCACCATTTTCGGCTTGAGACTGGTATGACTTGCTTGTACCAAACACTTTCCTGTATATATTTTTCCTTGCACAGAAGTAAATTTTGGATTGCTTGTAGCTTTTAGAGAAAAGTAATTGAAAATAAAACTTTGATGTGCTCTCCATTGTCTCAAGAACACCGCAGTATTTCCATGAGCAGCATAATTTTTATGCCTCAACCAGTATTGTGAATCCATGGAGATCTTGCTGTGCTTGATGGGAAGTATTTGAAAGAGTAAGCTTTTTATCAGTTTGTGCCTGTAATTTTTTTTTTCTCCAGGAGGATAGGTTTCCCTTCTTCATCTTGACTCCAAAAAGATATGGCTCAGAATGCATTGAATTCTTTGAGTATGTACTTGTGTTATCACAATACAGGTGGGGTTGTTCGTGAAATTTGGTTAAGAAACTTAGATATTGATTTTAGGTAGTGAAGTTTGGTTCAGAAAGGAAATTGATATCAATTTAACATGTGAAATTTGCTTATTGCAGTAAGCTGGATCAGCAACATCCAGCTTTCTTGCAATGCACATTCATGGCAAACAGAAAGACTGCCTGCCTTGGGTTTGGGTGCTCTACAGTGCTTCCAGATTGATTTGCACCTGCTTTTGAACTTGCTCCATACTTTTTTATGATCTCTATTTGCCAATTCATGAATTAGCAACTCTCTCACTAAGGAAGGGATGTCTATCCATGGGCTTGATTCATTGGCATATGCCTTTGCAATTAATGACAATTGCACTTACTATGCATCTCTTGAGCACAATTACCAAAATTGCCATGTAAGAGGGTAAGTTAGGTAAAAGTCAATCTGAAAGCACATGCATTGATTTTTGACTGGAAGTGAATGAAGGCATGTCAGCAGGGATGGTTGCTAGTTGATAACATGAAATTCTATGCCTGGGACTCCCTATGTGTTATCCTCTTCTCCCATGTCCTGACCAATATGTACCTTTGTCAAGGTGTCCCTCATCCTCCTCTCAATCCTAACTTTCATTGAAAGACTGAGCATGACCAGTCTTTCTTTTCCAATATTCAAACTATTATTGCAGCAGCCCTAAAAATGGTGGATTGCATCCATTTTGAGGAATGCATTTGGAATTTTGAATCCAAAGACACATCCTATCAAGTCCTATGCCATCAATGTAATGTAGTCTTTTGGTTATATTCTTCTCTTTCATGTATGAGGGAATTTTCTTGAATGTATGAAGTCTTCCTTCAAAGTTGGGAACCTTGAAGAAAAATGACTCAAGGTGGTGAAAATTTGCTCCTGAATATATCCCATGACAAACCAGATGACTTCAGAAGGAAGAGGAACCGACCGAAAGAGGTGAATTGATTCTCTTCTGCATGGCAGTAATGTTGTGAAGATACTTAAACTGGTATAGATTTTCTGTGAAGCAGAGCTATCAGCATTGGTAATTTCATTATTTTAGGAGACCATTGAAGAGCTGGACAGACCAAAGAGAAAAAAGAAGGAGGAAGTCAAAGAAACAGATCAAGAGGAAAAGGGAACTAGTTCAGGAGGATTTGGATCAAGTTTCATTTCATCTATCTTTGACAAAAACCCAGAGATTCCACAGGTCATACAAAAAAATATAATACCCATCAAAGAAGCTGTCTTTTCAAAGAATACCTTTCAAGATCTTGATTTGCATCCCTATCTGGTGAGCTTAGCATTTCATAATTTTTTAGCTGGTTTGTGGAATTGATAGCAGTTAAGAAATGTTTGCTCCCCAGATTTCAAATTTAAAAAACCAATTGGGACTGGAGACACTGACATTGATCCAGCAACAAGCCATACCTCATGTCCTGAATGGGAAAAATGTCCTTGTGAAGTCCCAGACTGGCTCTGGGAAAACTCTGGTTTATCTGTTGCCCATCCTCAATACCTTGCAAGCAACGCAGCCCAAAATCTCCCGTGAACAGGGGTTCTATGCCATCATTATTGTCCCAACTCGAGAACTTGCTCTTCAGACCTATGATTGGTTGCTCAAACTCTGTCCAGTGAGATTTTAACTCCTTCACCCTTGAATCATGAAGTTGAATTATATATGTTATTTGCCATTTTAAACATATCTTACTTAGTCCTTTGCATGGATTGTTCCTGGACTGTTAATGGGAGGAGAAAAGAGAAAGAGTGAAAAGGCCCGCATCAGGAGAGGGATCAACATCTTGGTAACCACACCTGGTCGTCTTCTTGATCACATTGAAAACACCCACAATATATCATTTGCTCGAGTGAGATGGCTTGTTCTCGATGAAGCAGATCGTCTCATGGACATGGGATACGAAAAGGATGTGTCTAGGTAAAGGAGTGTCTTATCCCATTTGGGTTTCAATATGTGCCATATATCAATTGACTTCTTTTCATTAAATGACAATTGGAATTTCTCTATGCTGAAGCATTGTGTCTGCTCTAAATGGAGAGCACACCAGTCAGAGGCAGACAGTGTTGCTGTCTGCAACACTAACACCTGCAGTTGAACGCCTCGCTGGTCTCACTCTTGCAGACCCCGTGTTTGTTGAGGCATCTTCATGCTCAAACACATCTGCTATGAAGGATTCCAGTATGCCTTCAGTCACTCCTTCAAGCCTTAGGCACTTTTACGTGATTGTTCCTGCCAAACTGCGGCTTGTGACCTTGGCCAGCATAATTTTGTCAAAGCTTCAGGTTCTCATCCTTTCAATGTGATTCAGGAGAATCCACATAATGCAGCATTGACCAATGAGTCTATGATTGCAGAACCCAGAAGAAGGAAAGGTGTTGGTGTTCATGGCCACACAGGACATGGTGGACTATCACCTAGAACTTTTTATCAGAATCCTTCAGCCACAAGGACTATTAGAAGATGAAGAGGCCAATGGTTTAGTGAAAATCCTGAAGCTTCATGGAAACATGACCCAAAAGGTGTTTCTTCAATAGCTAACTCACTTTGAAGTATACAAAGTAATTTTGTAAGATTACTTCATAGTCATTGCATACCAATTGCATCATTTTTTCAGGATCGCTCAGCAGTCTTCAAGGAATTTCGTGAAGCAAGTGCTGGAGTTCTTCTGTCTACTGTGAGTTTCCCTTCACATGCATATTTAACAAAGAGCCTCTGAACCACTTCATTGGACACTTTATTTTCATGTTCTTGTTTTGGCACACAGGATGTAGCTGCAAGAGGTTTGGATCTGCCAAAAGTCAACTGGATAATTCAGTATAATCCCTGCAGCTCTGTGTCAGATTATGTCCACCGTGTTGGTCGTACTGCAAGGGTGGGACAGCGAGGGTCTGCTCTTGTATTCCTTACCCCATCTGAAACAGACTACATCAAGCTGCTTGAAGACACACTCATCAGGTGGTAGCAGAAACTGTAGCTATGAATCATGATTTACTATATTATGTAGATGTGTAGTTATGTACAAATCTGCAGCACTTTGGGAAGAATGCTCATAGTGCACCTCTGCTTGGGTATTTCAGACTGGAGGGCATGCCTATGGAGGATATTCTCTCCAACTTGCTTACTGTCTCTAATAATGAGGTGAGTAACAAAATAGGAATTGTGAAAATATGTAGGGAAATTTGACTCTTTTTACCAACTGGTACTGTGTGAAATGACCACAGAGTGGTTTCCAGTGTAAGAATTTCTGGATGTCAGTATTTGGAAATTTTCAGATTTGTCGTGGTCGAACCATGGAAGAACGAGCAACAGATCTTCAGCTTCACTTTGAGAATGCTATTCTTCAAGATAAGGAGCTTCACAATTTGGGTGTGAAAGGTATGACTATAATAGGATGTTTTCCAATTTCTGCAATTGTAGTTTTCCAAGAAAATGAGATACAAGGAGTTGGGCTTTTTCTTTTCATTTCCTAGGTTGTGTCTCTTTCATCCGATCCTATGCCTCTTATCCCAACTCGGTGAGGGAGGTCTTATGTTTCAAGAAACTTCATCTGGGTCACGTGGCAAAGAGTTTTGCTCTAAGAGACACTCCTTCAGAACTTGGACTCAAGTCCAGATGGCAAGGCAACAAAGCCAGAGAGAAGGTTGCATCGAAAAGGTATTTGCAACTTTAATATTATTTGCATTAGGTTCACAACGAAGTTAAAGAGTTCCTTTGAATCGTTTCCATCGATCTTTATTGTGCAGGGAAGAGAGAGTGAGATGGAAGAAGACTTTCTCTACCAGAGTCAAAGATGGCCACAGACTTCCACAAAACATGACCCAAGTTTGTGAATACAGCAGTGGGTTATCAGGAATACGTCTGAGTGAGAAAAATCCCAGTGCCAAGCCACGTAAGCAAGCAAAAAATTTGAAAGTGAAATCTCATATCCTGATAAAAGGGAAGAAAAGGAACAGATGACATAGTGGATATGGACTTGTTTTCCCCTAATAAAGCCGTCAAAACTGTCTCAGAGGTTTTATCATTTTTCCCTTGTTTTCTTTTTAGTATGACATTGCTGATTATGGTTCAACATCTACTATGTTCAACATTGTCAGACAATGAATGGCATGCAACGATACACTTATTTAATTATTGGTCCTGTAGTTTTGAAGGGAAGACTCCAGAACCTACCCCACTTTTGAGTAGACCCCAACCAGCTTGGCCACAAGATCTCTCATTGGAGACTCAGAAAAAAAACTGGGAAATTGCAGTGACAGATCGTGTAGAATGACATAAATTATTAATTTTGTGCACTTTATATGACATTAAAATAAGGAAACATCCTGACGAACTTGAATGTTTTAGTAATGAGAGTTAATTTCCAAAATCTCTGCCATGTTTGATGGTAGTTCATGGAGTTACATGCAGCTGTGTGCTGGAAGTTTGGGCCACTCGGTAAGTGCTTGGCAGTGAGTATTCAACTGCGAATAATAAAAAGACATAAATGAAACCCAATAGATCACTGAAATCATGTCACTATTGCACATGACTTGTGCAGGAGAGTAAATATATCCCATTTTCAAGAACAACATACCGTACTGCTTAGTGATGGGTTCCCGTGTTCAAGTACCCCATGCCCTGTTTCCTTTTGGATCGTGGACATGATTCATTGAAGATTTGTTATAACTGTACTCAGTGAAGCTATTGTCTTATTCACTCCCAAACAGTCGGAGCGCGTAGTTCGTGACGTCTCGATCCATACTAGTGGAAGGATTATACACGAGGAAATACTTTGGTGCATATCCTGTCCTATCTTCAACCGAAAGAAAAATACCTCGAGATAGATTCGGAACTTTATTGACATCGTCCATGTTCACCTAGACAGTATTTGGATGAAATTTTGTCGAGATGGAATCCCATAGAACCCGGTCCAGAGAGAATGAAATTATTGAGGGGGAGCGATACCGATGATCCCGCAGGCGACTCGTCCTCCAGCATTTCCTGTGTTCATGCTCCCCTCGTCGCCTCCGCGTCCGAGGTCGTCTTCCCCTGCGTGCACCACTATCGCTCTCCCGATCACGCTGGTATCTCCATACAGAGACAATACACTGTCCACGATCCTCACTTGGGCCACTCCATTCTGGTCGGCAATAATGTTTCCCAGGTCTCCCACATGCCGTTCTTCCGCATCAGGTGCTCCATGCTTCACCTTCGGCGAGAGAACCAATTCCATAACGAATTAAGTTAACGCGAATATTCAACGAAGGCAACTACAGCAAAGTGGGTCCATTGGTAAATTATTATTATTATTAGGGTTGGGTTTCAAAAGACGCTTGGCAAGTTCTTGAATTTCGTTTCTTGCCAAGTCTTGACAAGATTTCCTCTACCCTTAAAGCCCAGTCAAGTGTCGATAAACTTTTGAACATTGATTTTTTGTTAGGTGTTTTCTCCCCTCATTTTTCCTGTCCAACCATGTCCTCACTCAGCACCCCAAAGAGAAGGAAGAAAAGAAGCCTAATGTGGAATTTATGCTAGTAACAACACAAGCAACTCCAGCATGTCCCATACTCGCTCACAGCAGGCTGAGTCTTACAGTATGGATTGTGCGAGAATAGTTCGGCGAAACGTGTCATAAGTAAAACTCACGAGAAAAATCTGCATCCAATGGGAATTGAACCCTTGTTTGTTCAGTTTTTGTATGACGTCCAAACCCTTTGGCTAATGGCTCTCTTTCTCGAAAAATCTCAATGTTCTTTTGTGCTTCATATTTGGTTGTGACATCGTTGTCATCTTGACAGGATCTTGTTTTTTTCTTGCCAAAGTTTTTTCTTATCAATCCCAACCCTAATTATTATAGAAAAATCGAAAGTCTGTTCGCCGCGAGAAACCGGTTCCAAGAAGAGGCAGACAAAAGAGCGTTATCATCAGCCTACCTGGAAAGGGTTATAGTGGCCTTTAGTGGAGCCACAGCCTTGGCTGACATCCCCATATTCGTGAATGTGGAATCCGTGCTTCCCGGGCGTGAGTCCACTGACGTTCCCATTGAGCACAAGGCGAGAACCTGAACCCTGTTGTATAAACTCGAGGACTCCGTTCACCGGGGGGTTATTCAATACCACGATGGCTCGACGATTCCCCACATTCTGGAAGGAACGCAACGTATTATCTCTTTCAGTGCTTCCAGCCTCTCTCGACATCTCACTAAACATTCATATTAAGTTCGACATTTTTTTCACTTGAGTCCAACGAGCGAGCAGGCTGAGCTTATCTTATTCGGCACTCTCATAACGAAATACTTGCCGTACTCGACTGAAAAAGTGTCATACTTAAAAAAAAAATAACTACGAGGTGGTCAAGGTGAGCATCAATCATTGCCCCGATACATGAAACAAGTGGAAACTAGGCGTAGTGTTGCAATATATTTAGGGACACTGACAGATCGGGTGGATTGAGGGCCAGCAGAAACCATATATCGTTCATATTGAGACCCAGGATCGCGTGATGTTCTTGAATCTGGTCTTGGATAAGTGACGAACCCGAACTTCCCGGGAATAGGACGAACTCCTTGTCCGCGTAATCCCAAAATACACGCCAACAGGAGCACGAGAGTCCTAGACAAAAACCCCTGCATTGTAGCTACTTCGGTATAAAACGATTAGGATCTTTTGGCTTCAACAAGAAAGCTGGACAGATCACGGAAGCAATACTTTCTTACCTCATGTTTGTGAGCGGTCTCGGGAAGCAACCAGAGGATTATGCGCTCTAAAAATCCGAGCTCACGACTAGCACGTCCTAGGAACCAAACTGGAATGAAGAGAGCGAGGCAGACCGGCTGCGTCTCAAGGAGACTTCCCCTCCACTTCGCATCCTCTTTCGCCCCTTGGCTTCAGGTATGCTAAGGTGTGGATTCCAGCATGCATTCCCAGATCCTTGTGAAACCTCCCCTTCCTTGCCTTCTGCATGCGTTAGGAAAGTTGCCATCATCCAAAACACGATTCTGCAATTAAATCGACAAAATCTTAACTAAATTATTCGTATCCACCTGTCCTTGACGATGAGCCCATCCGCCCGATGTGGCAGCGGACCACATGCTACACCGAACCCAATCCGACTGTTTCTGCAACGTAATCCAAAGCTTCAGAGTTTTCTGGACCCTCGTTATCGAAATGAATCAGAAATTTCATATCCGGCAGCAAATTGGACGGAGAGATTGTTTCACCGCGCGCCTGCCGTGGGACAGCCTTGGGGGCATGGGTGCGACGTAGAATTTGTTTCTACGTCTTGCTTTCCTTCTTTCTCTCGCTTTGCCATGGGGCGGTTATATAATTCCTTCCTGTTTCGTGATGTGGCAAGATTGAAGATGCGTTGCCTTCTTTAGTATGCCTGCCCTTGAACATTTTCAAGGCTCCTCACTTGAAAGGATTTTTAAGTCTCCGAATGTCTCACAGTGCTTGAAAATGGGACATGAAAACATGTTTCGCAATGGGAACAGTTGACTTTCGGGTGATTAGGACACACTGGCCAAGACATGCCAAATGATTTCACCCTGGTCTGTGAAGAAACCGGCCCGAATACAGCAGAGGACAAGGACTCGAGTCCTATTATAGCTTCGGGTTCATGCCCGTTTGAGAGCTTCACCCAGCCCGCACGAGATGTATCTCGCGTGGAAAAGGAGATTCCAACTTCCACACTTCTTGAGAGAATCGACGCTACGGGGTCGATCCGTCTCCATCTCAGCATGAAGTACTTTTCTACGAACTGAAATTTCGGGGCTATGGGATCCTCGAGAGAATGAGGTTGTGATGGGGGACAGAAAGATATTCCACCCGAGGGTCACTGGGGACGAATCTCTACACCTTGACAGAAATCCGAATTCATGCTTTTGCGAACGTCTCTATGGGAAATAAAAGAAACAGACACAAAGCATTAATCCTATTACTGTCCCTAAAGCGGAGTTGAGACACTCATTTTGTTTAGAAGTGACTACGCACACATGAGCTATGAGTTGATCAGGATCAAAGAGCAAGTCCTAGGTGCTAATCGCACGCCTACTCAAAAGGCCTCGAGACCTTCGCTTTCTTGCTCATCGGAATGATGCAAGCTGATGGGCTGGCATGGTTAGCCAGCGTGACGGGGCGCTTCCCGACCCATTATCTCATTTGAGCTGGTGGGAGTCCTTTATGGACGCACAGGTGCATGGCTCCTCCTCCGTGCATGGCACGGCTCGAAAAGGTCATTACGAATGTCTTGCTGACGTGCACAATGATTTGGTTGGACTCAACAGTGCTTTGAGGACTAATTGGCGGGAAGATATTCCAGGAACCAAAACGAAGAATGTGAACCCTATCCTCGACTCCGTGGTCTTTTTCGCAATAAAACACGTACCTCATTATTCGAACTCAATAGAATCTTTACAATTTTCCCAAGAGTGTTGCACAGCAGCAGAGTGTCTGCAGCCATCACCATTTGCCGTCTGTAAGTTCCTGGTTTAGCCAGGAGCCAATAAATGCATCGCGCGAGAGTGAAAAGGGAGCAACGGGAACGCGTTCTTCAAAACTCACAAAGTTTTCTCATTGCCATTGATCATGTTAAGTCTTGTAATACATGCGAAAGTCATGGATATTCTCTCAGGATTAAATAAAAACATCGAAAATGCGAAAGTACGTGCCCGATCGAAACAGGGCTAACGGCTGCGATATAGCCCCTTCTCGAGCGAGACATGAGCTTCGGTTTGCAAGGTAAACGTTCAGAGGAGAAATATCGAAGAGTTTAAAGTTATTCTAACATACTCATGCATAACGTGCCACGTCAGTCAATGTGGCTGACAGAGCCGTTAAAAGTCACAAGACCTGGCAATCAATGCCCGTAGCGGCATAGTGAATACAATTAAAATGTAACTGTGCCAAGAAATTGAGTCGTTGCATTCCTAAAAAGGAATCCGTCTGTGCAAGTGAATGCCCAGGTGGAACCCTGGAAAAATTACATGTATTGAGAAATCTTTTACAAAAAAAATTCTAAAAAGTGAAGTCGCAATGAGTTAGCAGAAGCAATTGTGAGTATATTATTAAAGATTGCTCAACAAGTTGGATACAATGAGGCCGAGCGTATCGTGACAAAATCGAGTCGACTGTAATTCGCAAGTAAAGTTGCACAAAAGGCATGAGAATTTTTTCAGAATTACCATTTTCCATATTTCTCACAGGTTCCAACCAAGTCCTTGTAAGGAGAGCAAATATAAGATCGTCACCGTCAGCAGAAAAAAAAGAAAAGTCTTCTGGATTGAACTTGAAAGAAGTCCTTGGCATGGCCAACCATGAAAGCAATAATTCCCCAATTCTCTTTCGCAAGAAAGAGTCGGAAATGAGTGGGCAAAGGAAGAGGTAATGACAAACACTTTCATGTATGATCAAGCTTCGAGTTCTTTCTACTGAGTAATTCAAGCCAAACTACTATGCGTGTTCTCCAGCGGGAATCCCACCCTCGTGCACACCAGTGAGAGAGTGATAGAAAAAGGTTTATCGTATTAACTCAGCTACATCAGGCTGCCATGGTGTCTTGCACGTGAAAGAGAGCGCAAGTCAGTTGGACCTACAGACTCTAATTAGGGGTCCAAAGTCCGGAGTATCAGCCTAGGCTCTCTTGCTTCTATTTTTTTTAAAAATAGGTTTTGCTGAGAAGCGGGTTCATTGACCACGTAAGTCTTCTGCATTTCTGCCGGGGTACCCCCCACCCACCCCCCACACTGCATATAGGAAAACCCAGCCAAACTCTAGACAAACGTCCCTCGTCCGCTACGTGCGTGAGCATAATCCTGTCATCTGCCTGGCAAGTCTCCAGAGACGATGGAGCGAGCTGAAATGGGAGGAAAAGAAAAACAGAAAATTATTTTCCATTCTTCAAGCTTTCCACTAACAGGCACGAATATTCCAGCATGCCGTCCGGAGATGGAGAGGACACCTACGTGTGCACGCTTCCCGACTGGCTCCAAGAGAAGGCAGAGAAAGAGTTGAACGAACGGAAGGAAACTCGAGCAGACGACATCAAAGCCATTCGACACTGGTTGGAGAAACAGCCTCATCTTCAAACCGTGCCTCGAGGTGAGAAGGAAATCAATTCGTCCGATGAGTACGTGAAAGGGCTTTTCTGCAAGAGTTCGAATCCTGAGGAAGTTTATTGAAAATAAATAAAATAAGTAATTGCTGTTTGCACTACAGTACCTACAAGGCCTGAGTACATTTTTAAAATAGTTTTTTTTTTTTTAATGTCACATTTCCATAGTCTGCTAAAGAGATCCACCTGATAATAGATCCCGGTGATCTAAAAGCAAAAATTACGAGGTATTATAATACTTGTCTGCAAGTCAAAAAGTGAAGGTTTGCAGATACGCTCCTCTGTTAAACAGCCGTAAGCGGAATGCTTGAGTGCTGACCCAGAATAGTGACTGAGCTATGGTCCTTACATAGATGATCGGACCATCCTCATGTTCCTGCGGGGATGCAAGTTCAGCTTGGAGAGGACTAAGGAAAAGCTGGATATGTTTTTCTCCATCAGAACTCTGTTGCCCGAATTCTTCGAGAACGGGGACCCGATGCATCCGACGAACCTGGCCATTTTACGCCTTGGGTCGGCTCTCTTTTGGATAATCGTGGAAAAGCTCTTATGTTATCATGTTAACATTTAGCCATGCGTTTCTCAGGACGTGCCTTCCGGTGGAAGACAAGTATGAAGCCGATGGAAGCAAAATCGTAATCGCAAGGGCGGCTGTTCAAGATCCGGACAAGATCAAGCAGGAAGACATCATCCGTGTCATTTGCTTCATCGGGGATATCATCCTTAACGTAGTCCACACAGATAGATCCAGCAAATACAGGATTTTCATGATGGATTCACACACTCCTTTAATGCAAACCGTTGTTTTCTATGGGATTACCGATACCAGTGGAAGCAACGTTTCTTCCGGTCTTACGTATAACGTGAACTAAGTTTAGTATTCGGTATGTCGGTAGAGTCGAGAATACCAATGGCGCTAGTGCCTTGATGGAGGTGTGTGGCATCACGAGAACACTGTAGATCCCACTCCTTGCAATTTCAATCTTATACCTCTCTCGACGATTATTCCAGGACGAACAGACTCAAATCTGTGGCGTCACTGGTGTGATAGACTTAACCGGAATGACGTGGGCCCACGGCATGGCTCTGACCCCGGCTTTGGTGAAAAAGGCCATGACAGCCTGGCAGGTAAAGGGTGAAACGGTTTTCTAACATATTCCATTCTCCCCTGAAAGTCGCAAAGAAGAGCAAATAATAATGATTTTTCAATAGGATGGATACCCGGCAAGGCATAAGAGATTACATTACATCAACGCTCCTCCCTTTTTCGAGTCCGTCTTCAACATCTTCCGTGGTTTCATGAATGAGAAGATAAAACGAAGGGTAAGAATGAGGGTAGGGGAGAGATCATAGTCGAATAGTCGAATAATGATTGAAAGTAAAAATGTTCTTTTTTTGGCATTGCAGGTTAGCTTTCATGGGAACAGATTTGAATCTTTGCATCAGATGATCCCAGTACATCTTCTGCCCAAAGAGCTGGGTGGAACATACGGAAATTACGAAGACATGGCAGGTCAGTTGGAATTCAATGTGTCACAGATCTGCTTCTATCCTGATAGTGTGACACCAATTTTATTATCCCCTTCCCCCGGACATGCGGTTTATATAGATTACTGGATGAAAAAGGTCCTGAGCCATCGTGAAGAGATCATGGAGAGAGCGATGCAGAAGTCCAACGAGAAACTCCGTCCTGGGAAAGCCAAGAGCTTCGAGGATGTCTTTGGCATCGAGGGATCGTTCAGGAAGCTCAATGTGGATTGATATGAATATAACAGATGTCATTTTCTTCCCGTCAGCAGACATGAGAACTTTCACACCTTTCACTTTTCTTTGGTCTTGTTGCGTTCAAAATAAGAAGTAACTTCACAAGTGAATATGCAAATCTTCAGATGTGGAATATCGTGTGACTTGTCTCCTTTCCCGAAAGAGAAATCTACATTAAAGTGATTGAAATTATGATTCTTAATTTTCATCTGAAATTCAATGGAAGAGAATATTTAATACGTTGAGCTTTGCAATCGTCATGTGGCGTCCCTCGCCCATTGCGCATTCAAATTGCCGGGGCTGAATGCGTAGACAGTTAAATTTATACTGCAATATGACTGAACTTATTCCGGAATTTCATAGGATACATCGGAAAGAGATACCATAGAGCAAAAACCAACTAGCTGTTATATAGCTCATATTTGATTTTTAAATAGCTTGAAATTGTGTGCATTGCATTCGATTAAAGTTTCAAGGTGGCATGACGAGGCTTCATGAAAGTTGGCCGAAAATTTGGTAGGGGTATTCATTAAAAAATATATATATACAAAAACTTTCAAGACTATATACAGAGTAGACTAAAGGCCCTGATACACGAGGCAAGAACTTGCTAGCAAGTCCTTGCTTACAAGGAGCAAGCGAGGGTATACACGAAGCAAGTATACTCTAGAAAGGACTTGCCTGCACTTGCTCGAAAGTTGTCAAGCATCTGTGAAACGAAATCGAAAAGAGCGAAAGAGCGAAAAGAGTGAATGCAAGAGTCGTCCAGAGTTCAAGAGAAAAGTTCTTGAGAATGCATCATGATGATGATGAATGACACCATACTTTCATGTATGATTAGGCCTTGTATTCTTTCCACTGAATAACAAGAGCGAACTGCGGGATGTTCCGAAAGCTTCTGACCCACGAAAGTAAGGGTAGCGAGGTGATTAATGGGAACATATTGACTTATTTGTTTTCTACTTCACTAGGAGTACCCCGGGAACCAAGTCTTGCATCAATACTCGGTATGAAATCCTACGACCACCAGGAACGTCGGACTGGAGTACCAAAGCTCTCAATGATTCGAGGGATGACATCCTTCCTGCTGCTTTCTCGCTGCACTAAACCCTTAGCGGTCCATTTTATTTGTAACGCTATGGATATCGTCGGAATATTTCCGACAGTAGACCTCAAAGGGTCGAAAGCCTGGATGAATATTCTCTCAGAATTAAATAATAACACTTCGAAAATGCGAAAGTACGTGCCCGATCGAGACAGGGCTAACGGCTGCGATATAGCCCCTTCTCGAGCGAGACATGAGCAAGGCAAACGTTCAGAGGAGAAATATCGAAGAGTTTAAAGTTATTCTAACATACTCATACATGACGTGCCACGTCAATGTGGCTGACTGAGCCGTTAAAAGTCACAGAGCCTGGCAATCAATGCCTTTATTATAGCAACTTAGTGAATACAATTAAAATGTAACTGCACCAAGAATTGGAGATGCTGTATTGCTAAAAAGAAATCCGTCTGTGTATGTGAATACCCAGGTGAAAAGTGGCAAAATTAAATGCATTGAAAAAGGTTTTTTTTTTAATCTAAAAAGTGAAGTCGCAATGAGTTAGCAGAAGCAATTGTGAGTATATTAGTAAAGATTGCTCAACAAGTAGGATACAATGAAGCCGAGCGTATCGTGGCAAGATCCAAGTCGACTGTAATTCGCAAGTAAAGTTGCACAAAAGACATGATAATTTTTTTAGAATACCATTTTCTACATTTCTCACAGGTCCCAAGCAAGTCCTTGTAAGGAAAGCAAAGATGAGATCGTCACCCGTCAGCAGAAAAAAGAAAAGTCTTCTGGATTGACCTTGAAAGAAGTCCTTGGCATGGCCAATCATGAAAGCAATAATTCCCCAATTCTCTTTCGCAAGAAAGAGTCGGAAATGAGTGGGCAAAGGAAGAGGTAATGACAAACATTTTCATGTATGATCAAGCTTCGAGTTCTTTCTACTGAGTAATTCAAGCCAAACTAATATGCGTGTTCTCCAGCGGGAATCCCACCCTTGTGCACACCAGTGAGAGAGTGATAGAAAAATTGGTTTATCGTATTAACTCAGCTACATCAGGCTGCCATGGTGTCTTGCACGTGAAATATAGCGCAAAGTCAGTTGGACCTACAGACTCTAATTAGGGATCCAAAGTCCGGAGTATTAGCCTAGGCTCTCTTGCATCTATATATTTTTTAATAGGTTTTGCTGAGAAGCGGGTTCATTGATCACGTAAGTCTTCTGCATTTCTGCCGGGGTCCCCCCCCACCCCCCCCACATTCTACATTCCACATAGGAAGACCCAACCAAAACCTAGAGGAATATCCCTCGTCCGCTACATGCCTGTACATAATACCCCGTCATCTGCATGGCAATTCTTGGGAGAGATAAAGCGAGCTGAAATGGGAGGAAGAGAATGACAGAAAATTATTTCCCATTCTTCAAGCTTTCATCTAACAGGCATGAATATTACAGAATGCCGTCCGGAGATGGAGAGGACACCTACGTGTGCACACTTCCCGACTGTCTCCAAGAGAAGGCAGAGAAGGAGTTGAAGGAACGGAAGGAAACCCGAGCAGACGACATCAACGCCATCCGACATTGGCTGGAGAAACAGCCTCATCTTCAAACCGTGCCTTGAGGTGAGAAGGAAATCAATTCGTCCAATGAGTAGCTAAGAGGGTAATCTACAAGAGTCCGATTCCTGGGGGAATTTATAATAAATAATTGCAGTTTGCAAAACCTAAATGGCCTGAATATATATTTAAAATAGTTTTTTAAATGTCATCTTTCCATAGTCTGCAAAAGAGATCCACCTGATAATAGATCCCGGTGATCTAAAAGCAAAAATTACGAGGCATTAGTGCCATAATGGAGGTGTGTGGCATTACGAAAACACTGTAGATCCTATTCCTTGCAATTTCAATCTCATACCTCTCTCGACGATTATTCCAGGACGAACAGACTCAAATCTGTGGCGTCACTGATGTGATTGACTTAACCGGAATGACGTGGGCCCACGGCATGTCTCTGACCCCGGCTTTGGTGAAAAAGGCCATGACAGCCTGGCAGGTAAAGGGTGAAACGATTTTCTAACATATTCCATTCTCCCCTGAAAGTCGCAAAGAAGAGCAAATAATAATGATTTTTCAATAGGATGGATACCCGGCAAGGCATAAGAGATTACATTACATCAACGCTCCTCCTTTCGACTCAACTTCAACATCGTCCGTGGTTTCATGGAGAAGATAAAACGAAGAGTAAGAATGAGGGTATGGAGAGATCATATATATGGAGAATATGGATACATCATAGTCGAATAATGATTGAAAGTAAAAATGTTACATTTTTCTCTGGCAATGCAGATCAGCATTCACGGGAGTAAATTGGAATCTTTGCACCCGAACGTTCCGGCACATCTGCCCGAAGAGCTGGGTGGAACATACGGAAATTACGAAGACATGACAGGTCAGTTGGAATTCACGGTGTTACTGACCTGCCTTTATCCCGATATTTTTATAATGTGACACCAATTTTATTTTTCCTTCCCCCCCTCCAGATATGTGGTTTATATACTGTACATTGCTGGATGAAAAACGTCCTGAGCCATCGTGAAGAGGTCATGGAGAGAGCGAAGCAGATGTCCAACGAGAAACTCTGTCCTGGGAAAGGCAAGAGCTTCGAGGATGTCTTTGGCATCGAGGGATCGTTCAGGAAGCTCAACGTGGATTGATATGAATACGAGGGTCATTTAAAAAATCCTGCAACCAAGTCTTGCTTCATGGAACAATGATATTTGGTATTGAACTGATTCACTTTTTTAAGTTGTCATTCTCTCTTCCCCATCATATCAACATTTTAAGAAATTCAAGTGAATAATGTAGGAATGACAAACATGTGATCAAACTATGTTTTCTCTCTTGGCTCATTTTTGAAAATATCCTGAAAATTACAACCAAAACAATCAGAAGTGAAAGAAATGCAGATTTTGTCATATGACCACATGGGTGTTATTATATGCGATCGAGTGTGCCAGCCAACCAGCTAGTCAATCAGCATTATTGCAAGGAATTTGTTCAAGTGAAACTGTGCTCCGAAATCCAAAAATAGGGACCTGGTCTTCTGGAGGGTGGCCCAATTATTCTGTATGACAATGGCCGCTGTCATTCTGCCCACGTTGTCTCAGAATTGCTGCAGATATTATTGGGTAGTCTTGGATCATCACTCTACAATCCCGATCTTTCCCCCTGTGTCTTTTATTTTGATTCCCTTCTTAAGGAACCCATGAGAGGACTCGATATTCTGACATACAAGAAGTAGACGCTGCTATGAACCAGAGTATCAGATTCATTAGCAAAAATCACTTTGCACAAGGAGTCAGGAAGCAACCAGGACATTGGGATGGTGTGATTGAAGAGATGGGAGACCATTTCGAATCTCAATAACAGTGGAAGTGTGTCAAGAAGTATTGGAGTTATTGAACCAGTTGCAGAACTTTTTGAATGGCCCTCGTACAACGGATTGCATTTCCTACCCGTCAGCAGACACGACACCTTTCACACCTTTCACTTCTCTTTGGTGCTGCGACGCGCGACACAGAAAGTTATTTCACAAGTGAATATGCAAATGTGCAGACATGGAATATCGTGTGACTTGTCTCGCTTCCCGAAATAGAAATCTACATAAAAGGGATTGACTGCGATTTTTGATTCCTAATTTTCATCTGAAATGCAATAGAGGAGAATATTTTTTTTTAGTCCTGCAGCCGTCATATGGCGTCCTACACCCATTCCGCATTAAAATTGCCGGGGCTGAAAGTGTTGACAGTAAAATTTAAAAATGCAATGTGACTGAAATTTCCCGGGCTTTCATAGGACACATCGGAAAGAGATACTGAAAAGCAAAAATCAACTAGTTGCTATATTGCTCGTATTTGGTTTTTAAAAAGTTCGAAAGAGTGTGCATTGCATTCTATTAAAGTTTCAAGGTCGCATGACGAGGCTTCATAAACGTTGGTAGAAAATT